GTCGGAAGTTCACGTTTGGCAAAAATGAAGATCGAGAAGTTCGATATTCGATTAATGACCTTCTTTGGCCAGGGTTATTGTTCCCCCTGGATTATTAACCGGACTCTGGGCTTGGACGAGAATGACGGCTCTCTATTTATTATTCTTCTGGGCCTTACGAGAACCTTCCATGAACTTCCATTCGCTCCGGGGCAGAAAACACGGAGGAGCAAGACACACAAACTTTAAATCTCCATGGGAGTCGACGGCACCGTAAAGCCCTACAAAGTCAACGGGTCGAATTATTCGAGTATACTCTCGGACCGTGCGGACTTGCCTTAAGGCTTGTCCCTCGCAACTCGCACACTTTGTATATAGATATACTAGGCGTGTGTCCGTCCGTCTCTGCGCCTCCCAAGAGGAACAGCGCGCGAGCTGCTTGAAGTTTCTTTCAACTTCAGCCAGAGTATATTCTTATGTACCGATAGCTTATCTTTTTTTTTTGTTGTTGTTGTTCTCGGCCACAGAATAGAGTGTCGAAGCAACGAAAAAATAATGATCATTGCCATTACGTTCGAATTATTATTTTTTTTTTTTTTTTTTTGCAATTTTGTGTGCGACTGTAACTCTAATTTTCTTTTATTGTTTTTCTCCTCCGCTGTACGACTTTTCCTCGTCTTTGACCGTTACACTAGATTTTTTGTGTGTATCCTTCGTTGTTATTATCGTGGACGGTGAGTTTTGTGCTCTCGATGTAGATGAAAATTTGTCAAAATTACAAAAAAAAAAAAAAAAAAAATATTAGGAGAGGCACGCAATCCGTCGGCTCTCTCAATTCGGAATATATCTCTCTCTTACGTTGTTGTTTTGTGTTTTGTTTTAGCACTGAAAATTTGTCAAAATTAAAAAAAAAAAAAAAAAAAAAATATTAGGAGAGGCACGCAATCCGTCGGCTCTCTCAATTCGGAATATATCTCTCTCTTACGTTGTTGTTTTGTGTTTTGTTTTAGCACTGGCAAGACCATGCTTGCCATTAACAAAGGCTTACAGAGGTCAGTATTTTTTTTTCTCATATTATACGTTTTCTTTCTTTCGGTTTTCCTTCTTGTGTGGCTTGGTTCGTTTGTTCGTTTGGTCCATTGGTTTTCGTCTCCTTGTCACATACTCCATTCCTCGATATCATCTCTTGTCTCTATTACTATTCGTTTCGTAGGCCACTTTATCTTCGTCGTCCTTCCCTCTTTTTTCTTTTCGGGTATTCCGTGACACCCCCCACCCGCCACCCCCTCTTCGCTCGTTCATCCTCCTCAAACTTTTCCCACCTTTTCTACTTTTTCCTTTCGTCTTTCACTATCCTGCTATTATCCGTTATCTGGACAGTGCGCAGTCTTTTTTTGTCATAGTGTTTAATTACTCTAATAATTGTGTCTTAATTAATCCGAATCCTGAGACGAGACGAGGGTGAGATTATTTGCTCAGCCGCCCCTGAGAGTCTGGAAAAAAGATCCGATTGACAGGAACAAAGGGACGGACGTATCGAGATATCCGAGAGTCTTTCACTCGAGCGGAAATAATCGTCCTCGTGACAAACGGCGGTTTGTGATTTGTAATTGCTTTGGAAAAAGAAAGAAACGACTGAATTATTGGTACTTTTTTTTTTTTTTTTTGGATTTTTGAATCATATTATTTCGAGGATACATCCTGTAACGTATAAGCGAGCGTGCGATTGGGTCAAACGGGAATTGCAACGAGAGAGCAGAAACAAAGAACAATGAGCGAATGTATAGGGCGTGTGAAAATTAAGCGGAAAAAAGTTTCTTTTTTTAGAAAATTTACTTTTGGTCTTATCGTTTCGCTTTGGTAAGATAAAAATACAATTTCTTTTTCGATACGACGCGAATCATTTTCGTCCATGACGACATCAGTGAGTGCAGGTGTCTCCTAAGCGGGTTGAAAGTGACGCAAGTCCAGACGCGTGCAAATAAAAGAGAAAACGATCGGTCAAAGGGAAGCCTCGTTGGCTGCTGTCGGGCGTGCATATACGTACATACACACGCAGATACAAAATGTCCCGCCGTTAGATAGCCACGATAATCTAGCTAGTCCTTCTGTTTACACTTGAACACATTGCAGGCACAGACCCTTATCCACACGCGTGCCTGGCTTTAGCCTAACCACTTTGACGTCGTACCATACAGCTCGCGAAGTTGACAGATCGACTAGCTGAAAGTCAGAGACATCTATTGGCACGCGACGGCATTAAAGTATCGACGCTGCCATCTATGCGTAAGCCAATGAACCACATTGTAAGTTTCGCCTATACGTCAGCGAAGATTCAAGAACGACGGTTCATTCGAGCCTGTTTATGTTCTATCTCCGTTAACGTTACGTCGTACCGAAGACGCTGGGACGCCGTGACGCCACGCTCGCTTCATAAAGACTCGCGACTATTGCTCTTCTCTTTTTCCTTGCCTGGTGTCTATTTTTTTACGCGCTATACCGTCTCTAGCCACGCGTCTTTCTGTCGGTGATTTTGATTTCGCGTAACATGGAAATCGCACGGACTTGCGTAGAAGGTGCAGGTAACACGCTCGCGTAAATATACGTATCATTCGTAGACGTAAATGCATACGCAGGTTCTGGGTAGTCTTTTTGCGTAATGATAGTGACGTGCGACGTAGTTTTTTTGCTTCACGAATGCCTGACTTTACATTGATATGCGATGTCTTCGTATACTCGTCGTGATTTTTTGGATTTATTTTCACGTGGCTCGTGACGTCAAGTAGGTACGTAGTTGTATTCTTGCATACGTAACGTATCGCGTTTTTTATTTTATCCACGTACGGTTATCGCACGACTTTGTTTTAAGAAAAAAAATTTTGTTTTGCAATTTTTCGAAAACTCACTTTGCGTTGTATTTGCCGTATGGGAAGAAATGGAATTTTTTTTTTTTTTAATTTTTTTTCGGCGGTTCGTCTTTTTTCGGCGGTATCTTATGTACCTTGCGGTCGTAAGCGTCGGACGTGTCGAACGTCAGTCGTGCGTGTTGCGCAAAAGACGAATAAATGTACCACTTGCGTAAATTTATAAAAGGTTACACCGATCACGGGGAAAACTGTCAAAATGACAAGTAGGTGCCAGGAAGATTGTTTGGTAAACGAGGGACGTTCGTGGATATTTGTATTTTTTCTGTGTATGCACTGATCGATGGACATTTACTAAAACCTCGCAAGGCGATGATGTATGCAATGGCCGGCTGTACGATGTACAGCAAACACTACCATTGGTTCAGTTAATGTTACTCGTTCGTGCCATTAATTGGTTGAACTTTTTTTTTTAATTATCTTTAAAAAATTAATATTTACCCATCGGGACTACGAAATACAAGTTAAATATTACGTCACTTGAGAAGCTGTGCATTCTGTCTCGACGTTTAAATGATCTTTTACGTATTAGGAAAATACTACGGTTTTGAGTAAAGAGTCTAGTTTCTTTTTTTTTTTTATATTCATATAATAATTATTATTTCATTAATTTTGCAAACTTGCATTGGCAACTATTGAATATTATCGATAACGCGTCTTGACGTCACAATCTATAGGGCGTTTTGTATTAATTGACTAGTCGTTTCGTCTCGTGGCTGCGGTAGTACTTATTGATTTACGCAATGACATCTTTGTTTTTACCGTAGCCAATCGTTTGTTCAGGTTGAAAGAAAAAGTCGAGTAAATTGTCCAACGTGAGGTTAGGCGATCCATGAGCAAATAGGCGCAGACTATCGATATGACTTTTTTTTTTTTTGTACCGATGACACATCGATGCGCAATTTTAAGTCATTGGGTAGCAGCAAACACGTGAGTAGTCCGGTGCCCGTACTTTCGATTAACGATAAAGGGTCGCCGTGAACTTCCCCTGAAGCCTTTGCCCTTTAGTCGTCATTGTTTGCTCTCTCGCTCGCGTGACCAGTCGATGCCGCGCGAAGTTGTTTTTTTTTTTTTTTTTTTTTTTTCTTTCAAATTACGACCATTTTTTTTTTTTTTTTTTTTTTTTTTTTTTTTTTCTTTCAAATTACGACCAGTTCACGATTCTGCGTGTTCTCGAAACAACGTGCAAGCACTTTCGGGTAAAGAGACGAAAGCCGAGGGACGCGAGCGAAAGGAAACGGCGTTTCTGTCTTACATGGAATCTCAGGATGTAGTAGGATGGAGCATGATGACGGAGGGAAGAAATGAAGGAAGAAAAAAAAGAAAGGAGAGGGAAAAATTAGTCCGAAGGAATATGTGAAAGAAGCGAGATGATGGTCGGTGTGTTGATGGGAGGGATGTCCGGATGTTCCAGGTACAGCCCGCTGGCAGGTGATCTACTGGCGAACTCGATGCTACCGGGTAACGCGATGAACGGCAGCGGATGGTGCATCTTCGTGTACAATCTGGCGCCGGAGACCGAGGAGAACGTCCTGTGGCAGCTCTTTGGGCCCTTTGGTGCTGTCCAGTCGGTTAAGGTGATCCGTGATCTGCAGACCAATAAGTGCAAGGGCTTCGGATTCGTCACGATGACCAACTACGAGGAGGCGGTTGTCGCGATCCAAAGCCTGAACGGGTATACGTTGGGCAATCGCGTGCTCCAGGTTAGCTTCAAGACGAATAAGAGCAAAGCCGCGTAGGACGAGTGTGCAGAAACGGCAACGACAGCAGCAGCGTACATTCGGCAGCATGTCCAGAACCTCCAATTCGCCAATCACGTAAACGCCCGGAACAACAACCCCAGCAGCAGCAGCAGCAGCAGCAGCAGCTGCAGCAGCACCCACGTCAACAGTCCGAACCAGCAGGAGCAAAGCTCGAAACCGTTGGTCCAGCAGCTGGAGGCTGCGCCGTCCCGCTCACTCGCCGGTTGGCCGCCTCGGGAAGCGCAGCTATCTCGGAACTTGTCACATCCGGGCATCGGCGAGGTTTAGTGCGGATCAAGATAATTCGAAGGAGTGTTCTGCTGCCCTCGCACCACGTACGCTACACGAGGATCGTACCGACACAGTACGAATAGTACGGATAGTCAACCTCCACTCTTCCTTATCGACGGCACCTCGATACACTCGGGACTCACTTGCCTCTCGAGCGCCACTTTCATACCTCCTGGTACGGACGTAGCCGCCACCGCGGTCGTCACTCGACGTATCGTCGACTGGCGCTCGTGGCTTCCGGTACGACCGCGAGAGAGGACCGGGTCGGGTGCTCAAGCGAGAGAGATAGATATTAGTGAAAGAGAGAAGCTGGGGTGATCCTAAGGGTAGGGTGCGGGCGGTTCATGTAAAGGTGTGTTCACATTGTAAGATGACCAATAGACACGAAGCAGGATCTGTTGCCACTCGTTACCATTAATATTATTGAGACCACGATGAACGCGACCTGTTCACCTGGTTCTGGTATACCCACGATCCTCGTAGGCGATTTCGTATTTATTCGTAATTATTACTTGACTCTTTCTTTAACTCACCGACGAGGATCGCGTATGGGCCTATACCGGGACCCGGACCAGTCGGCGGTTCCTCTCTCTTAGCAATGAGCTCGACCCTGACCAATCTCAAGGAGGGTTGCAAGGGGCGCGCGAGCTAATGGTTTTCTCGAGAAAGGACGAGGGTGCCGTCTTGGTCGATAGTTATGGCGTTTATTAACAAAAAAAATAATTCGTGATCGTCGATCGCGACGCGTCTCAAAGCGCAAACTATGTAAACCTTCGAACACGGTGCGTAATAAGTATCCGCCTGCGAAATCTGTACATATTTATGATTTCTGTACGCGTGCACGCGCGCTCGCGTACCTTCTACAAGTTAGTCGCGGACGCGCGGGTACACGTCCACGTTATGTGCGTACACGAAGAATACATGGTATACAAAATTCAGACACGCATTACACGCACGGGGAACAGAGAACATCGCACGCACACGCGAGACACCCAGGGACACGGCGATTACGAGCGGCGTCCGGGGGACACCGTTGGCAACGCAAGACAAAAAAGACAGAATTTACGAGGAAAGGAACAAAAAATTACAAGAAATTATTCTACACTGCGCTCTTCTGTAACATACGTATTTATTATATGTATCGACGCGCGAGCTGCGCGTTCAGGCGGGCTCGGACGATCGGGGGAACTTTTGCTCCACTCGATCGCCCGTCGCGAGACAACCGCGAGAACCGGTTGTCACGCGATCGCGTCGGGCAACTCGCGCGTCACGCTGCAAGTGCATAATACACGGTTATACATACTCGTTTATGTATAAGTTTTTAGAGTTAACCGAAGGAAAGGAAAGAGAAAAAAAAATGGGAAAAAATACACAAACTTTTGGGGGCGAATCGTATACACAACCGGGCCGTGAGCGAGGACGGGTCTGGTGTACGGGCTGTATCAAACAGGTATTATTAATTAAGTAAAACGTAACGTTTAACGAGGTCGGTGGGACTATACTAGTGGGGACAAAAGGAGGACGAATCGCGTTTGCGTAAACTTTGGGACTTGGCGTGAAAAGGGCCCCATTTTTATACGAGCCCCTCGGGACTGACTAGGAGTTCAGCAGCGCTGTTCGTCGTTTGGGACTCGCGAGTGAGACACTTGGGCGCTAGGCTTGATTCGTGTGGCCCATATTTCTTTTTTGTTATTCGGCGATGCGGAGGATCGATCTCTGGGGGGGGGGTCGTCGATGAGGTCACTCGTTGGATGATCTATTAGGAAATGCGTGAAATTAATGGGTGGGTGGAGGGGAGTCTATGATCTATTGAAATACAATCACGTGTGTACCACTTATGTCTGTATGCCATTGGCACAGGCCGTAATCGCGATACAATTGTTAGAATTACTTCTCTGGCTTATTGTCGCGCTCCTAGTGTCACTCTGTGTCCGAGATACGTGTTTTCACGGATTTACGTATTTTACGTAACGATTGTCGTCGGAGTCCGATCAGTGCGCGCGGAGCCGAACTTATTGTAACTAGTTACACCGTGCTAGTCAAAAAAAAAAAAAAAAAAAGTAAACGTAACTGTTCACCGTCACGTTCAAAGTACTTTACTGCATATGTTTATTAGATTATTATCGCCCTAGGAGTATAAGTGAGTGAATAGGAGCTTGAGTTGCGAAGGGAGAGAGAGAGAGAGAGAGAGGAAAGCAATTGGGATCATAGAGAGAAAAGGAGACGAGTAGATGAGAATCAACGTGTCAATCACGTATTAATTTATCCGTAGCAAATTCGTTCGCGAGGTATGTCTTTTCTCTTTGTAAAGATCTCCGGTCCATCCTCGATCGTTGCTCTCGAGGATATCGGTATGTACCCGTTTATAGTCACGATACTTCGAACTCTCGAGTGACGCGGGCAACGATTGCAAAGACCATCGAGATAACACTACGTCTAGTCCTGATACGTGCAAAGGAGACGCGCGATAAGAATCAGCCGCGTTGCAACGAAACACACCAAATAATTGAAAGCTAATAAACGGAGAAAAAGACGAACGGGTATACAACGTTTTTTTCTTTTTTATGGCCAGACTATAGGGAAACGGGGGAAGGAATAGGTAAGCAGCGGCTATCGACGACGTCACTTAATTTGTCGATTCTAGTTGAACGCTCGGTCGGCCGATGTTTCTTTAGACAATTCGGTAGCTATAGGCGCGCGAGCGACTTTCTCAGCGTTTACAATGATGCGGTTACGATTATGCTCGTTAATACGAAATAATAAAGAATCTATCGCAATTGTACGCGTCGCGTTTGCAAGTCGCGTTTAATTTAATCGACTCGGTCGACGCTTTTACGCGAATTCCACAAATATGGCGGATAACGCGCGAAACTGCATTACCGACTGATTTCGAGCGTGATCAGTGTTTCGGTTTACCGAACATATTATTATTATTATTATTATTATTGGTACAGCTATTATTATTATTATTATTATATTTAGTAACGTGAGAGAATGTATTGTGTCTTATTTAAGTGGATATTTTTGTGTCTAGTCCGGGAGTAAGTGAGAGAAAGAGAGTGTGTGAGTGCGTACTTGGGGCAGAAAGAGAAAGAGAAAAAGAGAGAGAGAGAGAGAGAGAGAGATAGACATACAGAGCTGATCGCTCTGTACCATTTTTTTGTCGAAATTCTCACTCCCCTTTTCTACTCCCTTTACGATCGTGCGCCCAATAACCATGATCCTCCCCTCCCCCACCGCCACCAACACGAGGGGATGGAATTACTCGAGTCATCGAATTTCCATGATGTTCCTCTCGTTTAAATGCTATTCACCTTTTTCTAGGTTTTATTTTATTTATTTAACGTCTATTTACTTAGTGTTGTCGCGTGATTAACTTAGAGAGGGAGACTAGTGACAGAATAAAGGAAGAGAGTGAGAGAACGCGAAAGTGTGTGTGTGTGTGTGTGTGTGTGTGTGTGTGTGTGTGTGTGTGTGTGTGTGTGTGTGTGTGTGTGTGTGTGTGTGTGTGTGTGTGTGTGTGTGTGTGTGTGTGTGTGTGTGTGTGTGTGTGTGTGTGTGTGTGAGAGAGAGAGTGCGAGAGTTGGTACAAAAAAGAAAAGAAAGTGACGCAAGACGTTCGCTTGTAAAGGAACGAAGTAGTGCAAATTGAAATAGCATCGATATACGATTTACAAAGAAAAAAAAAAAAAATACATACGTGACGTTTGATAGGTTCTCTACGCCGTGAAAATTTAAATGCCACTTCGATCATTTCTTATTTTGCTTATTATCACTATTACTATTCTACTATTTACTACTTACTATTTACTACTACTACTACTACTGCTACTGCTACTATTACTATTATTATTATCACTATGATGCTTCTTCTTCTTCTTGCTGCTATTATGATTATGATTATTATTATTAGTTTTATTATTATTATTCTCATCAATATCCCGATTACGCCGAATACTATTAATGTCATCATTGTCGTCTTTATTATTCTTTCTATTATTATTATTATTATTATTATTATTATTACTATCGTATATTTTTTGCGCCTCTCTTGTCATTATTTTGTAGTAACCATTTGATACTTTATTACAACTTACTTACACACCACGTACTTACATTACTCATTATTTACCCACGAATCGACTACTATTCCTATTTACCGCTGACACCCTTCTTGCCCACCCCCACCCTCCCTCCCTCCCTCTCTCCTTCATCTATGCATCTACACACCACACGGTATAACCTATATCTATCACTACTAACCATCATCGTCACCGCTACGAATTATTTATTTATTTATTTAATTATTAATAACATACTGCAATTATGTTTTATTTAAGGATTAAACTGATTTGTGTTTGGTTCAAGAGTCGTTTGTTTTATTTCAATTATGAGTTTCTTTGGCGTATATATCCAGCCCCCTCCCTCCCTCCCTCCCTCTCTCCTTCATCTATGCATCTACACACCACACGGTATAACCTATATCTATCACTACTAACCATCATCGTCACCGCTACGAATTATTTATTTATTTATTTAATTATTAATAACATACTGCAATTATGTTTTATTTAAGGATTAAACTGATTTGTGTTTGGTTCAAGAGTCGTTTGTTTTATTTCAATTATGAGTTTCTTTGGCGTATATATCCACGATCCTTCTATCGTTCATACACTATCCGTGTACCTGATTGATTGGCTGCGTCCACGGTGCTTGGACTGTTCGCATTAAATATTGCACATTGAAGCGTGTCTGTCGCGAGTTTGCCGTAGCCGTTCAATTATACGGTGTCCCAATACCAATTAGCCTTCATGTTCCAGTCGTCGATTCCATTTCAATTCTTAACCTGCAAGCATAAATGAACATGCGTAACGATCGCAATCGACTGGGTTGACGTTTCCTCTTGTACGTATTTCAATTCACTTCGTCGACTTTGATCCTACGATTATCCAGTGTGTTAAAAAAATAGCGCTTTGCCTGCAATGCCGGAGAAGGAGATTTATTAGTGGGAAGAAAAAAATAATTTTTAGTGACTCGCGAGTCCTGCGACTGACTGCAGCGCCATATATCTAGACTGTACAGAAGATATACGATTAGCACAGAGTCTGCCAGAACGAATATACGGATTACCGGGACTTTCGCGAGCGGTGACCAGCAAAACGCACATGTGGTTGGGAAGGTTGGTGGGAGGGATTCACGAGGGTGGTAGCAGGGGGGGAGGGGAACTTTTTGATACGCACAGCGCACAATATGTCAGACGACACAAACGAATCTTGAATCCTGGATTGACGACGAGCGTAGGGGGATAGGGAAAGACATTAATGTCGTAGTTTTTCTTCGTTCAAGGGTGATTACACGATACGAATTGTTGTGACATCCCCGACGTGTTTTTACCCGAGCCCAAGCCCCGGCCCAACTCGCTCGCCGCAATGATCTCACACGAATAACAAAGAAAAAAAGTAAAAAAAACACGCTAATCTACTTAATATAATATTACATATGATTATTACGTTAGATATATTATGTGTATTGTATTTATGTCTTAATAATCGTTGTTAGTTATATTGCTATGAGGATGACGATATCGAGGAGGACGAGGACGCTGACGATGATTAATGAATGTTTTATGATTGAACGGTGATACTTAGGACGAATACGATTAGCAATTATGCGGGAGACGAGAATTGTTCGTTTTCGGTTTCTGCCGATAGGAGCGCTGCGGAGCCATGGAATAGGATGCGACATGTTTGTACCTTGAAAAGTGGATGACGAGAAATGTGATGACCGAATTGTCAGCGACGAATCCAGGGGGATGCGAGACGTACGAACGCAACAGTAACGGAAAAAGTAAAGGAAATGAAAAATTCACAGACACGCACACGTGATACAGAACGACGTTACACAATTACACTTAACACACATGATTACACGTATGTACGAACGTTAAGGGGACACATAACACACGCGCGCGCACTTTCTGGCCGTTTCGATCAGTTTCGATTGGAACGGGTTAAGAAGTAAAGAAAAATGTGAGAAAAACTTAAAAATGAGGTTACGACGACAAATCGGGAGATGAACAAAGAAAAAATGTTTTAGCTTATTTGTCTAAGGTATATGATATTACATTTATTGATTATTATATTAACTATTAGTCACATTATATTATTGTACTACTACTTAGTACTCGTACTATTTATAAAAGTCTCATTAATATCGCAGAAGAGAAAGAAAAAGGGAAAATAGCGCCACGTGCTTTCCGTCGGTAACGACGACGAGAATACGTTGCGCCGTGACTTTATCATTGGCGCATTCTGGATTTTGTGCGTGATGGCTCTTAGATTCTGTGCAATGAACACAAAAATGAACAAACAAAGAAATAATACGAACGAACGTATTTCGATAGAAAAAAAATGGCGTGGATGCGTGCGTGTGCGTGTGTGGGCTGTGTGAATGCGTGTCCTAATATGGTTTGCTTGCGCGAGAAAGAAGCTCTGTGCGTGGTATTAACGTTGAGGTGAAATGAAAAAAAAAGTAAGGAAGAAGAAAACCAAAAAAAAGCGAAAAAACAGCGTTGAAAGAAAAAAATATCCAAAATGCATCGCCGAGCGACGCGAGCGACAACGCGACGTGTAATAATAACGTTATAGCCTTAGCCGAGGGAGTCCAAAGTGGTGCTGTAGTAGACAGAGAGATTATCTTCCCTCGTTATCAGTGAGAATTCCTTATCGAGATAAATGACGGTGACGTGACGAGAGGTGAAAAAAAAGAAAATTCTGATCGTATTGTTAAATCACAACTAATCAACTTGACAATTAGAATCTTCTCGAAACAGTTCTGGACCCTGTAACGAGTATCGATCATCGTGCGACAAGGTTAAAATTGTAATGATTTTTAAGATTCTATAAGAAAAACCAGTCTCTGATTCGTTTGATAATAATATTTGCATCATATTAGCCTTGTCGTACAAAGGTCGATAAATGAAAATCTGTAATACCGACTGATCAGCGTCCAGCTTAAGATCGTGTCCGTCTGTCTGACCGACATCTTTTCTATAGTCCTT